AAGTACACACTTGACATCTTCTGATCCAAATTCTTCTAGTGTATCTGTATGTAGCGATTTTGAACCAATTGCACCTCTACCAGAAAAGAGTCCGTCACCTCAATCTCTCCCAAGGCTGGCATCTAATTTTGCACTCAGCAGCATCACTCAATCTTCTCAACAACAACAAAATTCTGTTACTGTATCCAACAAGCGATCATCAGAAAACCAACAGCAATTATTTTATAAGAGAGGATTGAAGACGAAAAAACAATCATCAATAATGGAGGAGGCTGTAGGTGCCTTGAAACAGATGGCTCAACCTGACCCAGTTTTATCTCTTCCTCAACCTGAAATCAATGATTCAGCTCATACTTTGGCATTATTCTTAGAAACCAGGCTTCGTTCGTTACCTCCGGAGAATCGAAAAAAGTGTGAAGACGAAATTTTGAAACTGTTAACACAGTTTTGAAGAGTTTAAAATTAAGTAATTAGTTAATAAGTATTTTTTTCGGCTGTCATTGCAAATTCCTAATTTTTTATCCAAAGATAAAGTAAATATTATCTATTATAGTGTGAGACATTTAAACAAGTGTTAATTTATTTTATAGAGGAATTGTTACAATACATGAACATATATTTTATTTTATAGAGAACACTTATTTGATACATAAAATGTTTCTATGGCTTATTTTCATATTGTACTTATGTAATATTGTACTAAAAAAAAATTAACAGAAAAGTATATATGTACCATTGAGATCTCAAAACATATCTTTATTGTAGCGTTTAACTATCGTTAAATACATTATATCTGAGTACAAAATTCACAAGGGACTCATATTGCTGTTATCCGAATCAACATTGATTAAATTTCTAACCAAGCATCACTGCGCTTCGGTCTTGACAGTCTTCCTACCCATACTTAATTGCGAAAATGTACCTTTTATTAGCGGGAGGATTAAGAGCTTAGACGACAAATGCACGAATGCCTCAAATAGAGTAGGTCTATTCATGGTATTCACATCGTAATGCTTAACTTTCTCTCTGGTGCACCAGTTAGCCGCTTTGCTCACAGTGTTCTCCAAGTTATTCAACCCGGTATCGGTTTTCGTCGTTCAATTACCAATCACGATCACAGTTATCTCCTTCTTATCCTTATTCTTGTTGATGTCCTTCTTCAGCGGGAAGAGCACATCGAGATTCGGGTTTGCCAGTGTCGTACAACAGGACATAGCCGTCGGCGAAGCCAAGATAGTGTCGTGGAAGCTGCTGATTATTTATATTGCTCTGTAGAGATTCCAGCCCAGCTGTGTCGAAGAACCTGACCTTCTCTTTTGTGCCCCGATCAGTCTCAATGAAGACTGGCGAAGACTGGCTGCTTGACAGGGATATAATCTAAAGGCAGCTGAAACGGTTTTCAATATAATCACGGTTCTTATCTAGATGACCTTTGCAAATATATTACCTGTTAAATCCATGCTTTCTTCAGCTATTTAGTTATTTAATGATCCACAGCTCTATCCTGCCATGGCACTGCTCCCACACCGTTGAAATATTCACACCACATTTCTCGTAAAGCTAAAGCGCGATTCGCATGTCGATAGCCTCCTTGATTTCGAAAGTTTACCAAGCCTCGGGCCTGTTCATTCCTCCAGTCACCAGGACAAAGATGTCCTGCCTCTTCATTTTCTACATCTATATATGATGATGGTGTGTACATGGCACGACCAATAACATCAGTGCGAAGCATATTGTGCAAACAGCATATTGCGATTATAATATCACGGGCATCGTCCGGATCATATCTCATTGGAGATCTGAAAATTTGGAAACGACTGCCCATGACGCCAAATGCATTTTCGGAGCATCTTCTGGCACGAGACACTCTGCAATTATATAAAACAAATAAGCACTAAGTTTTCTGTCTTAAAAATTTTCATAATAATTAAACATGTTTATATCATTTTTTCTTTAAAGATACAATTTACCTATAGTTAAAAGTTCTTTTATCTCTGTTTCCCGAACATTGTTCTTTAGGAAAAGGTATAAGTACCGTTTCAGATAATGTGAAACCTTCATCTCCTACGATAACAAACGGAAAATCGTTGTCAGTTTCTGGTAGAGGGCTTGGCTCAGGAATTTTGAGTTTATTTCTGTCCAGGAGGTTCTTGAATGTGCATTTGTTCCACACTCCTTTATCAGATACTCGGCCATTAGTACCGACATCGATGTAAATATATCTAAGTTGAGCGTCAACAAGAGCAAGCAAAACAATACTAAACGTCTCTTTATAGTTGTAATACAGAGACCCAGATTGTAAAGGTGGATCAATGCGGCAATGTTTGCCATCCATGGCTCCAAGACAGTGTGGAAAATTCCATCTATCTGCAAAATCTTGAGCCACCACTTCCCACGCATCTTCAGAATCAGGCATTTGTAGGTAGTCATCTTGAAGGACAATTTTTAAAGCACGACATGTATCTTTTATTATCCCTGAAATGGTACTCTGTCCAAGTCTAAAATTCATTGAAAGGGACTCTTGAGATTCACCTATAAAATAAGGAAAAAAAATTGTCTTAAAATACTTAAACCTATACACAGGTCAAGAAATACTATATATATCCCAAAAAAATCTAACCAGTTGCTAAGTGACGTAATGTTACTGACAGCCTCTCAGCAGGTGAAATGCTTTCTCTGAGATGCGTGTCTTGTCTCTGAATTAAAGGTGTTACCTTGGTAACAAGATCTTCAAATATATCTGCACTCATTCGAAGACATCTATGCAAAAAGATAATAATTAAATAGCAAAAAATATGTACTATTTACTATTTGTACATATAAAAGTAAAAAATACTTTAAAGTAACACAGATATAAATGTCCACAGTCCATGCTTACTATATTTACCTTCGAAATTTATCTGGATCCTCTAACTGCAATTCTAAAAAAAGATTGTGATGACAACCTTGGTCCTTTCTCCTTGCCACCCATGGCTTCACCCATGTTGTTCTGCGACGAAGATTACTCTCGTAATAATGATTTATAATCAAAAATCCCAACAATGCGCATATTTTCTTTTTCTTTCTTATATTTATTCTCAATCGCTGTAAGTAATTTGGATCCATATTTCCTGAGGATGACGCCTATATTTTATTTTATTATTATATTATATTTTATATTATATGAAAAATGACAAAAATTTTCTACAATATTGTAAATTATAAGTAGATTACGATAATGTATTTCACGAGTTGTACAATTACTGTATAAAAAGGATTCTTCTTTAATTACAATTTGTTAAGTTCAATATTGTTCATTTTTTGAGCTATCAAATGGATTTTTAGTTTGTTTTGAACATCTAGCTCGTATTATGCAACAGTAATACCAGCAGTTTGGAGATAATTTCTCAAGTGATTCGCGTTTGCTTCGGGTATCTGGCCCACCAATCCTGGCAATAATCTTCCAAGGCCTTGCGCCAAATGCAAACGAATATCACCAAGCTTTTCTCGATACCTTTGCCGATGCCGCGGCTCCCGCTTTTAAATTCGTATCTATATCTCTTAAATAAGGAATGCGCCGTGTGTAGGACTCCATTGATCACATGAAAATCGCCAGTGTTGAACTTCTCTACCATCTGATCAATCAATTCTGGGCACTTGTTTGGAAAGTCATATTTTCCAATGATAGATACTGCATCAGACAACTGCTTTTGTATCGAATCTGGTGAATATAACATCAGATTAACGATTAGTTTCTTGACGGCATCTCTGTCTTGGGCATGTATACAATCCACTGAATCCTCCTTCTAAAATAACATTTCGCAATAGTAAATTAACATACAATGTAAGAACATTAAAATAAACAAATGAATATAAAACCAACCACTTTCCAGTTGCGCTTAACATAATTCTTTTAAATGCAACTGCGCCGGCAATCCTAATCGTGATGTTAATCTCAGACTTGTCCACCAAATGAAGTAGTAGTAAAGGATAATTCTGATTGACTTCCACCGACTCCAGAAACTTCTCGGCTAAAAGATAAATCGGATATTAACGTACGACACGCGTACAACGTTTAAAATATCACAAAAATGATAAGTTTGCAGGTTATACCAACCTGGACGTCTGGGCTGAGTGTGTATTTCAGATATTCGCTCAACGTTACCAAATTGTCGTCGGTGAGCTCTATGTCGGCGATCAGGAAAACGATTCACTCAGTTAGCCTTTCTTTCAGGAGATACAACGCGGCGGCATCGGCAAAGGTATCGAGAAAAGCTACGCCGCATATTATCGCATATAAATGTAACAACGCCACTAATCTAGTTATAATATAGATCAGTGAACAACGCGGCTTTCCGTTGGTCTGTTCGGTCTGTTGTGACAGGTCACACGAATTCCGATCAACGAAAAGCGTAAACTGCGCCACCGCGGCAGCAGTAATCGTGATTGGACAGTAGCCAGTCGCAATCAAAATCGCAGACGCAATCGCAATCGCAGTCGCAATCGCAGACGCAGTCGCAGTCGCGGTCGCGAGCCGCTAGTGTGATACGGGCTTTACGCGTCTCGTACGCATATTACCGTGGCATCCGCAAGCGTACAGATATTATGTACTGTAATACGTCTATGTAATATACCGAGCTATGTAATATATCGAGCCCGTCGAGTAACGATACCGCGTTCGTTAGTAAATACCGCGTCGTTATCGAGTGCACATGCACTATCTGCAATCTGCCGCGTCCGCCTACGTACTGTAGTACGTCTATGTAATATACCGAGCCCGTCGAGTAACGATACCGCGTTCGTTATTAAATACCGCGTCGTCATCGAGTGCACATGCACTAACTGTAAGCTACCGCGTCCGCCTATGTACTGTAATACGTCTATGTAATATACCGAGCTACGTAATACACCGAGCCCGTCGAGTAACGATACCGCGTTCGTTAGTAAAGTGCACCCGCACTACTTCTTCGTTGTATATATCGCGTTCTGTCCGTCCCTGCGCTACATCAAATACTACCGAGTCCCTCGAATAACGTGTTACCGCGTCCGTTATCGAGTACACCCGCACTGCCCCTTCGTTGTATATATCGCGTTCCACTCGTCCCTGTGCTATATATAATACCACTTTGTGTATGTAATAAGCTAAGCCAAATAAACTACTGCATGTACCATCTAAATCGATTATTGTCTCTGGGCCTTTCATCGAACTCCTGATCCCGCACACCAGTCCGCGTTCGATAAAGTCAGGCCGTTACAAACTAATCACTTTTACTTATCGAAACAATATTTTCTAGAAGAATAAA